GATGAAGGGAGAGAGAAAAAGGGAGAGACAGAGATGGGGGAGAGAGAGAGAGTAAGCGAGGAGGAAGGCGGGAGGGGATGGGAGGCTCGAAGGCTCTTTGAGGAACAGAGTTGTTCGTGCTTTGCCCTCAGGGTGAATGAGAAGTAGCTTTGAGGGCTGCGAGACCCAGGGTTGGCTCCCCACCTAAAGGCGTGTTTACCACCTTGTTGCGCGACGGCTGTGCTTTTGAAGGATCAGTCTCAAACGCGCCTCTAATTAAAGCTGTCATGGCTGGGTGCCTGCAGGGATAATGTTCTATTATTATAGTCATTTGTTTCAATTAAACGCTGGCTGATTTTACAATAGCAGCCGTGAACCTGTGTGAGTGAGCCATCACTCTAAACAAGATGGCTCCAGTCAAGCAGGGAGTGAGGAGAGGAAAGTCTCAGGCCTCACGAAGGCATTGATCACGACGCATTCAGACGAGGCGGGACGGGGTTTAGAAAGTGACTGATAATGCTGATTAAAACAAATCAGCAGGTGGTGTTTCGTTAAAATCCCAATCGGCTAGATACCATTGTAGGGACCAACTGCCCCGTCATTTACAATTAGATTTTTTATTTTTTTTAGGACATTTTAAAGTAACAAAAAAGTGACTTGACTCCACAGAAGATTATTTCAGATGCTGCTAACAAGTTGAAACATGACCACAACATTTATTGATTCTGTAGCATCCAGACGGGTTTATTATGATGCCAGTGCAATAAAAAACCTGCATAGCAATCAAGCAGCTTATTTAAATGATGAAGCAGATGCCACTCTGGTCTAATCATCATAAGGACAGAGCAAGGTTAGCTGTTTTACTCTCCTCTGGTGTGAGTCTCTCCTCTTTCTCCTTGTAGCTGTGTGTAGGGCTCTCTTCTCCCCTTCTCTCATCTCTGTGCTGGTGGTCAAATCCCCTTAGCTAAATCAAATGGTGCAGGCAATTGGAGCGGCCGTGAAACCATTTCAAAGGTAAGGTCAGCAGGAGCAGGGGAACAATGGCTTTGTGATATTCCATCTCGCACACAATGTGCTACACATAATTGGAAAGCCTTTGTTATTTGACTCCCATTTGACTATGATGTACAAGATGTGAATACAAACACGACAGGCGTAACGATGGCAGAGGAACACGTTCACACCGAGTTTCCTGGCTTTACATCACAGTTTAGGTCTGCTTGGCTGCTCATCACCGAAAAGCAATATCTAACTGTCCCCTTGCTAACTTTGGGGATGGATTTTACTCCTTAGGTCATGTGTTGTTTTTTTTTTTCTCTGTCTTCTACTTTCTGATTTGTTTTTTCTGTTTTCTCTTTCTGTCCGGCTCTCTGTTCCAGTGACCTCTTTCCTTCCCTCTTACTTTCCTTCCAGTATTTATGATGGACTCTGATGTCCTGGGGCTTTGCAACAAACAAACAAAATTTCAGGAGGTTAAGCCACCAAGAGAACATAGAATCCTGCTTTATTGATATTCTAAGTATATAAGTGAGCCATGAAATACAGCAGCAGAAGTTGAACTATGATGAGCAAAGTTTCCAAAGTGCTTCACTATCCAATATTTACAAAACATTAGCGCCATCTTTATATCATGTCTCAAACTAAGTTGTATATCAAGGAATAGAATCGGTGTTTCAGGCCTGCCATTTATGTGAAAAGTCATGAAAAGTCAGTGTGTGTTGCATGCTCAAGGCAGACACCGGTGACCAACTAAATCCTGCCACTCACTGTGCACTCCCACTTCTTTCGGCCAGCCATTTGGATGATACCATTAGGAATTAGCATACAGTACCTATGGCAACCGGCAACCTTTGTCAGATTCTTTCATAATATTTGTACAGCCGTCTGCCACTAGCTTTATTTAGCTCAGGCTTGATGGCGCTATGTGATAGCTTCTTACTCTTTGTGTCTCACACAGGTGAAAGCACCAACTAAAAGCACTCTGAGACATTTTCAAAAAAGGACACGGGAATGACTATTAGAAGTAAATTATCACAGCGGGGGCGTTCTGAGCAACGTGCACAAGTCTCCTTTACAGTACGAGGCTAGTTTTACCAGCTGTCATATAGTAATGCAGACCTACATTCTTAGGAATAGGATGCTTTTATACTTAAATAATTCAGCTTCTTGGCATGAGCTAGTTTTTATGCTTTTGTGTTTTTTGATGTTTTTTTTTTTTAACATGCAACTCTAATGAAAATGGAGTTAAATGAATTATGCAGGTAAATTTGAAAGTTAATTTTTGCATTTTCTTTTGTTTTGTTTTTTGTTTTTGCAAAAAAAAAGAAAAAAGACGTGATTTTGACTCATATCTGTAGTGAAAAACGCTACTCCAGTCTCCACGTATGATTTTCCTCCACTGGGAATTTAATTGTAGATTTATGTATGTCTGTAAAGTATGAACGAACCCCCCCCGTCTTTGCTCTTATGAGGCTGACACCAAGTATCCACGATGCCATGTTGCCTTCCCCCCATGAACTCCTCTGCTCTGCATGTCTCCTTCTTGTTTATATTAAACATGGTGTGACTCAGATTAAAGGGTGACAATTTTGCCTGGAGGCTGTTGCTATGGAAATGCATCTGCTATAGCTATGATAGGCCATTCATGTTTGATTAATTGGTTTTTCAATGCTTCTTGGTTTGTGAGGACCCTTAAAGAGCAAGTCCATGGAAAATGGAAAATTAATGGATTTCTATTTCCTTCTTTTTACTCCTTCTTTCTTCCTCTGTTTTTTTTTTCTTTTCTTTTTTTTGTCTAACTACTTATTTTGCTGAAGCCATTTCCTCATGTTTTAAGAAGTGTAGTGACGGTGTTTTGAATTATGATTGGAAGTTGGAGATTGCCGTGGATGGGGGGAGGTTAGAGCTTGGTTATTTGAAATGCAAAAGGAATGTCTTTGTTCGCGGCTGGCTTTTGTGAGCAGCTGCTGAGGCAAACACAGAATCTAATGTCGTGTGAATATTATGAGTTTTCAAAGCAGGCCAGATCCTCGCACAACATTACTTTGTTGTGCATTTTTATTCTAGCAATCTACTGGGACCAATTATGATTAGAGAGCCGAGCCTTCATCTCTGAACCTCTGCTCGTGTTTATCAAGACCTCATATGCTCGGGCCCTTTCAATTTGATCTTTTTAGCGCTGCACTAATGTGTAATGTATTATTTAACTCATAAATGTTTAAAAGAGCTAACAAATGCTAGTTCATCACTTTCTGATCTGTAAATTGCCAAACATTCCCATTTATGCCTGCATTAAAAGCATCCTTTGGTCCGTGCTCATGTTCTGTCCTGTTGAATCTTGAAGAAAAGCTTTTGATGTAGTTATTACTGAAGATCTTTTAGAATGGCTAAGAGCGGAACTTTGTGAAAGTCTGACTTTGTAATCACTGAAGGGTGTTCTACATGTACGGTCATTCTCCAGCTGTGAGTACCACTTTTCTTTCTATTTGTGCTCCCAAGTGTTGCGAAAGGTGTTGTTTAACTTGGCTGTAAGTGATATTTTTCTCCTTCTTAGCACGCAGTGGATATAATACATCTGCAGGGGTTTGATCGATACCGTTTACTCACTGATTGCTTTACCAGGCTTCTCAAAAATTAATTTTAAAAAGCATGAAACCAAAGTCCTTGACCACCACCACCAGGCCTCTGCCTCTCAGAGACCTTGGAGGGGCTGCAATTGTTGTCCACAGAAGTCATCAGAAGTCAATAAGATTCATGGATTGTACCTTTAACTGCAATCGAGAGCCTTTTAAAAATGATGTAATTGTTAAAAATAAACCTGGCCTGTGTGTTATATGACTGTTCAAATAATGCAAAATCAGTTTGGGATGCAGTTCCTCGTTCAGCTTGTAGGTGTGGAAAACAATGTCTTGGATTCAACTGAAAAAAGAAACTTGATTTTGTTCATCGATTAACCTGAAATATAATATAATAATATAAAATGCAAGTTTTTTGACCACTCGAGTAGCAGAACATAACACTGGCATATTCACTTTTTATGGTAAACTTGCTGCATCTTCTCATCTCGAAATTATCATTCACTTGCAAATGAATTTGCCGTGTCTTTTGAAATGCCCACCCTCATTTTAGCTTTTGTCTCCATTAACTCCTGATGGATGTTAAATTCTGATGTGCAGTCATAGTATTGTCTGTCATTCAGTGCCGAGTGGGTAGTGCACAGCCGTTTCAGAGCAGTTTCGCTGAGCACAGCTCAGTACACAATGCTAGAGCAAAACACTAAGCTTAAAGATGCCAAACACTCTGCAAACTGCAGCATTGGCTTCATCACTGCAGTAACCGTGTTTTCATATTGGTCATGTGATCCATTGTTTATATAAGAACATTACTTGTGGCCTGGCTAAGTTCTCAGCAGCTGATTTATCTTCTCATATGCGTAATATATCCAGGTTATATATCCGATGTTGGGGTCTGCAGATGCTACATTAATGTTTTTCTAGACTTTGTAGTCAACAGTGGATGTTATCAGCATTTAGGGATCAAAGACGGCATCTAATGTGAAGGAGCAGTGAGTTGTCTTGACTGGTTTAGGTGTAGCTATTTAGCACATTAGGCATCTTGTGCTCAGTATCGGTTGCTGTAGGAAGGTCAGTGTTGAAGTCGGCTACAGACCAAAACTAAAAAAAAAACAAAAAAACCTACAAGTTTGAAAATAGTGCGCTTCTGTTCTGAGGAAAGGCAGCGGAGACAGGAAAGCTTTCGTACCACCATCCTCGGGCCATCAGTGAGACCTGTGAGAGGTTTTCTTTTTGGTCTGTCGTGTTTTTAATCCCACAAACATTTTCCTCATTACAACTTATCTCAATTTTTTTGTATTATTTATATTCTATCCAACGCAAGTTTTCTCAAATTTGAAAATGTCATCTCCTACTTCTAAATGTTTGCATATTTGGCTAATTGGCAAACGTTGTAGTATTCTGAGTTGAGGAGAAGATAGTAAAGCTGGTGTTCTTCTCTCACCCCAGATGCAGGAGATGGCTTTGCACCACCACCAACAGCAACACCATCACCAGCACCCTGACGGCGCTCATTATGACCCCGCCGCCCGTAACCACCCCCTGATAAACAGCTCACCTCCGATACTGCCCAACCCCATGAGTGCACTGTCCCAGCTAAACCCTCAGGTCAGCCGGAGTGCACTGCCTCATGGCTCCCCCTCACCTCCCGGAAGTAAATCCGCCACACCCTCCCCTTCAAGCTCCAATCAGGAAGAGGAGACTGATCCTCATGCGAAGGTACTGACGTGGCTTCTCTGGCTTGTAGTAGTGGCGATAGAGGCAAAGGGGACTTGGTAGCGCTTCTCTGAGATGGTTCACATGCTGACTGCAGTGTTGAGTTTAAAAGGGACGCAGGGATCGGCATGCTTCTTTTGTTGTTGTGGCTTGGAAATCTCAAGCATGGTTGTAGAGCTGTGCTGGAGTTGAAGCTATTTCTTTCTTCTTCTGTGTATGTATGTAATGGTGTGGCACAGCATGGTGTCACATCTTGAGAGAGATAATACATCTGAGATATTTAGATTTAATGTTACTGTAGAAACCAGTGTGATTCGATGTTATTTATTCATTTCTTTTTCTTTTTTTCTTTTTCTTGTTCAGAGCAGTCCATTTAAATCAAAAGTGACATTTAGAAAGAGTTCAAAATCTGGTTCTCACTTAAAAGCAACCCAATCTTCTCTTTGTGAGAAATAATTTCACCCTCAGAAAAATTTCTTTTCCAGTTACACATTTGTGAATAGTTGGCAATCCATTACCACCGTGGCATGTTTGTGAATTTGTTGGCTAACTCTTAAACCCACAGGGCCTGACACGAAACCTTTTTTTTTTTTTTCCTTTTTCTCTCTATAGTAAACAAATCTCTGTTTAGTCAAAAAAAATGTTTTAATTGGTTGACCATCTACACCACCGACATGATTTGTTGCCATTCCTGCCTAGCTTCATCACTGGTTCACCATGTTCTTGGTTACAGTCTTGTTCTAAAGCTACCACTCCCTCATTTAAATCACTCATTCATTTAAATGAGAGGAGAAGGATACTTGTTTACATTCATTTGGTTTATGTAAATCCGTAAAACTGCTTTCATAAATTGCTCACCGACCAATGTCTCTGTGGATTTGCTTCATTTCTGTCAGGGGAATGTGAATGAGTGCATAATTGAATCTGCCACTTTCACAGTGTTTCAGATTCATCTGTGTATTTAACTGCTAGCTCGCAGTGATACAGTATAACAAGAAAGGGATCCTTTAGTTTAAAAAATATATTTCCCTGGCTATACATCTCTGCTGTGCTTCTCACTGTGTGTGTGAATAAAAATGATTACCATCTCTCCTATCAGTAAGTAATTCCATTTGCTCTCTCCAATTCATTCTGAGACCACATCAAAGCCAGAGCAGATACAGCAGGCGATTTAAAATTCCTTTCACCCCTAGCATGAAAAGTCAGAATTTATGACTTGCTGAACAACTGCAAAATAAAGATTTGAAAAGGTTTGATAAATTCAACTAACAGATGTTATTTTTGACAAAGTAAGGCAGGAAAAGCGGCTGCCAACCAGTGCCTGTGTAAAACGGTTACTGTCAATGAAACATTGCTGCAATATTCAAACGCTGGGTATTGAACAGAGAAATCGGATTATGGATTTAATGAAGTTTACATGCTTCACCTGGACCCAGTGTTATAAGCATTCATCACAGATGCAATTATTCAATCTATGGGTGTCTTCCCCCCACCCCCATCTGTGTTGAATTGGTCGACCCAGTTTCAGTGTCAATAAGCTGTTTTGTGTTTCTTTTGTGTGCCACTGATGGTCTTCCAGATCACGGGTGAGAAGCGGCCGTCTTCGGAGATGATGAAGCCCAAGCCCAAACCCCAAAAAAAGAAGAAGAAGAAGGATCCGAACGAGCCTACAAAGCCAGTGTCGGCCTACGCCTTGTTCTTCAGAGACACCCAGGCAGCCATTAAAGGACAAAATCCCAACGCCACTTTTGGAGACGTATCCAAAATAGTAGCCTCCATGTGGGACGGATTGGGAGAGGAGCAGAAACAGGTAGATTAACATTGTTCACGCTTGAGAAAGAAAAATGTTTAATTGCAATCCGCAATAACCGTTCTTTTGGTCATTTGAAGGCAGTGGAAACAACCTGTGAATGTAAAACTGGCATTATCATCTTTATGTTGATAATTGTACAGTGAATTTGCTTGAAAAAAGTTGCCTATTTACCCATCCAGCAACTATGGATATAACATTTTGGAGTCTTCTTTCCACTTATCCAGCATATTTAAGCCCCCTTGTAGCTCTGCTTTTGGTCTCCACCTACTCTTCATGGAGCAATATCTGATCACATGATGACAACTTGTTTGTTGTGTGCTACTACAAAATAATATTCATTTTTATTTATGACATAGAATAATGCAGCAGCAGAATGTTGACATTTTCATTCTGAATTAAGTAGTTGTCGCCCAATCTGCATGACGACAGCGAAGCATATGACATACTCATTTTGTAAAGTGAGAGTCCCCTATTGAATGCCTTTAAGTCTTGTTTTACATGTAATAAACTCGAAATCTATCATTATCCTCTCTTATTGCAGTGAAACTTGTATACTTTAAACCATCAGCAGCGTAGATTAATTTACCTGAAAATTCTCAGGAGTCAGTTTCATTTTATTGTAGCTGGACCTGTCAATACGAAACTTCATTAACATTTACTGCAGTTTAGAGCATCCCCGTCCAGCAAATTTTCTATTTCATTTTAGCATTCCAGACCAACAGACAAAGTCAAAGGAAGTTTCTGTGTGTGTGTTTGCAGTAACAAATGACGGTGTGAAATGAATGGAAAACAAGACAGTCTGATGATCATGCGCAGACTCATATTTTTAGAATATCCAGTCAGGGCGCAGCCTGTTGGATGTCAAATAAAAGCACCTGTCTCCATGACAAAGTGCAGCCCATTCGCCTCAGCCCCAGCCACCATCTACTAGACCCTATCTAGCGCGTGTGTGTTTTTCTCCTACCAAACCTACTTTATACGCTGGACTTTGGAGGCCGTCTGTCCCTTTTATTTGCAGTTAATTTTTGCCGCCTTCACCGGGGCTCTTCACCATGAATCTTCATTTCGCTGCTGACACCGTTGAATGTGAATTCCTCATTTCCTGTCCTTTTATTTATATCTGTTGCCTGGTGATTTGATCATGCTGGGAATACAAGATTAGCAATTGCCTTGTCCTTGGTTTTGCCTCAAGGACATCTGCTCCTGAAATGTTATTGTTTGTGCTTCTTAACCCTTTGTGTCTGGCTTCCTTTTCACCTTAGATTTTGCACTGTAGAAGCAACTCTCTCTCTCTCCTTGTCTCATCCTAGATGCATTTGTCCTTCACAGTTGTACCTGAGAACAGAGGCAAACTAACAAAAATGACAATTCCACCATTAAAAATCCTCCCATTTAGCGTGCCATTCCACCGCTAATTTTTTTATTTGTTTGTGCATTCATGTGTTTAATCAAACGTGTCACCTCGCAAGACACATAATTAACTTGAGGTAATGATGTCATTATGGAATGAAATGTAGTAGCCTGTCTGGGCAATAACACTGTGATTGCTCTAATTATTCTCACTGACTAGCACTGTCATTTATTCCAGCACAACAAATGGATAAACTTGATAACCATGTATTTACAGAGCAGACCCAATTCTGCGAGTGCACGTTAATACTCATTTAAGTCATTAAAATTTCTGTCCTTGCTTTTCACACTGGCACAAACTCGTCAAAGTATATTGCAGTGCACTGTATCCACATCTGCTGACTGGTAACGCTGCCGTGAAATCCGTTCGTATTGAAAACTTTCCATGACAGCTTCTCATACTCTAACCACTTTCAATATACAGCTTTAATTTCTATCTTCCACTGCTTTTGACATATATGCTGCCTTTCTTCTTCCAAAGCTGGCTGTCACGTCATGTCTATAGGACCGATGAGGTGTGTTCTATAATGTCACAGTCAGACCCTCTGGAGCCATGCAGGAGCACCAGAATGTAAACACAACCCTTCCCCTAGACACAGCTTTGTTTTAACTAGATCATGGTCCCTGTTTCCAATTACCTATAGCACTCCTCAAATATACCATGCAGCAGAATTCACATAAATACATTAAAGGCAGCGCTTTTTTTTTGTTTATTGCTGTATTTTATTGAAGACATGATCAGAAGTTCCACTGTTGTGATTTGTGTTCTTTTAGTGATTCTTTTTGTCGAGCTTCAGCGTGCATTTTCCCCCACTTTGCTAGTGTTGTTGTGTATTCTCCAGTGCCTTTCCTTGAGTTTGGCAGAACAAAGTCCTCCTTTTTTTTCTTTCAAATTTATGTTTATGTTCATATTTTCTTTTTTATTAAGATGTTTTCGAGGCTTGCACGCTATACAGCACTTTTATTTTTTAATTCCCAAAGGCCTTTGCTTTATAGTGCAAGATCAATGCGTTATTTGGGCTGTGTTATTCCTCAAGGTGACTAACATGTTAAAGCTGCCCCAGAAACACAAAAGAACATTTTTCTTGTTTTTGTTATTTAAGATTAAGATCAATTTTCCGTTTTTTACAGCAGTGGGGAGGAACAGTGATAATGGATTTGGGGAGGAGGGAGGAGAGACCTTAGGTTTATTTAATTGAGTCTGTGTGTTAGAGTTGTGTACCGGTGAAAGGTCGAAGATAGAAGGAAAAGAACACTGTCACTTTGTTTAAACAGCATGCTTTTATATTAAACTCCTTGTGTAGGTTAGGTTTTAGCATCAGTCCAGCTATATTCATCTTTTTTCAGTCCATTTTCAGCTTCTTTGTCTGCTATTTGCATACGCTTAAGTGTTTTTTTAGTGTAACCGTGATCTCCTTTTCACCCCTCTTCTTTCTCCTCCGTTCGTACTTCCGTTTGCTTCCTCTCCTCCTCGTCTCACTGATCGTTCGGTCCTTCGGTCGTAGGGTAATCACTCCCTTCAGTGTCAGCAGGGTGCAGAGTTATTGTCTCCTGTAATTAACTGGTTATCAAACAAGAACATTTCATTAAGGTACAATTAGGGGCTAATTCAGGCGGGACACCTCTGTGTCAGGATTACGATGGAGGCATATGCTTTCCCCTCGCAGCTTTGTTATTTTTAATTCATACTGACCTGCAGCCTTTGACGGCTTCAATTGCTAATGAATCCACTCACTTTGGAATAATTAGACATCCTTAGGCATGGTAATTTATTTAAAAGTATCCGACGTAGGGTGAATCATTAGCTGTGTTAAATTAATTTCAAATTAAAGCTGTTGGGAGTAGTTTGGGTTATTAAAGAAGCAACTGTGGGTTTGTCAGTACGCAAGAGGTGAGGGGTAAGTTCTGTTTTCTTTTTTTCTTTCTTTCTTTCTTAATAGCGATTGTTTATTTTAATTATGAAAATGTGTGGTTTATTCATGCATTTTGGAGTTTGTAATTCATCCAGTCTTGTTTCCAAAAATATCTGAATGTATATCAGGGAAGGGAAATAATAATAATATTGTAAATACGGATGAGTGAGAGGATAAACATCAGCTGTTTGAGCAAGAGATTGTATCCGCCTTCATCCCGGTTTGTTTGCTGTTCTACGTGTATGTCTGTTTATTGACTGTATGTGTTAGCGGCTGCCAGCCTATGTACATTTGGCAACACATGAATGCTTAATGGTTATTCTACTCCACCTCTTTGAAAGAAATGACCCTGTCCACGGAGCCACAGACAGTCTCTCACTGAGGATCAGTAATTACCCATTGCATTCACTCACACACAAACACTCCCTCTCCTTCATATTAAAATGCTCCAGAGACGAGCCGAGATCTGAGTCTTCCTCATCGATTTAAGGGTGGACTTTCTGCGACTTGCTTTCCGTGCATCAAAAAGGCAATGCCAGCTATAAAGAGCCTGTGAGTGACATGTGATGACATTAACTCGAATTCCCTGTCTTAACGCATCATTTGAGGTTCATTCAGAAGGGTTGAGATTGCCTCTTTGCTAATGCTGTTTTGAATTCTTTTATTTTATTTTATTTTTATTTTTTTTCCTCCTTCCACATCTGAATGATTTGCTGGGACATCAGCTCTGATTAAGAGATGAGCAACAGCCTTAATAGAGGAAGAGACTGAAAAGCAGTACACAAAATGACAAACAGCGTCTCACTCCTCATTTGACTCCATAAAATCTGGAACCTTATTTTCACGTTATTGTGCGCAAGCTTTCTCGACATTTTCATTTTAGATATTTTTGAAGGAATAAATGATTCAAATGCTGCAACATCATTCAGATGGCCAAATCTCCTTGACCTGATAACTGTGCGGTGAATGCATTTGATATGTTTTTTCATCCCAGAGCACACTGCCGGGTCACACAATCAAACCATGACTCCCAAAATCTCATCCACATCAGTCAGCGTGGACCGCAGGGTCATTTTAGCCTTTGGCATCACCGTGTAATCAGTCGTTGTTGTTGTTGTGTTTGCTCCTACAGAGCTACAAGAGGAAAACAGAGGCTGCTAAGAAGGAGTACCTGAAAGCCCTGGCCGCCTACAGAGCCAGTCTGGTTTCCAAGGTAACAGCGGGGGTCACGTCTTTGATATACATGGGTCAGCGGCGATATAAGGGATGATAAATTAGACAGAGAATTCCTCTCACTCTTATTCTAAGGAAAGGGTCCACTGGCTGCATTGAGCTGTTAGTATGTTTGTGCATGTGTGTGTGCTCAGAGGCGAACAGTGAAAATTAGGCCTCAAACACACCCGATTTGTAACCTGGGGAGAAATGGAAAGTAATAGCACACAGTCTGTGTGAGTGTGCTCATCAGTGTGCACGTGTGAGTAGAAATGGACATTACCTGTCATTGGCTGTCCTCCTGGTGTTTCTGTCCACCCCGATGGGCCGCTAATGTGTTAGCAGAGGTCCGCTCACACTTACTGATGTCACTTTGACGCAGGTTGCTTCAGTTTAGCACACATATTTCTGTCCAGTTTTACAAACCCACATGGTGAAAGTCCCATAGAATAATTTGGCCCCCCTCCCACTAAATTGTCTCACATCTGCAGGGCTTCTACAGTAGTTATGACAGTAAAGGGATGTTTCAATCTGTTGGTGCACTGCGTTTCATTTCTGTCTTCCTGCATTGTTTTTCAAATACAGCTCTAAATTGCATTAGCATATACCAAGCTCCTCCTCCTCCTCCCCCCCTCCCCCAAAGCACAGCACCACACTTCCTCTCATGCTCATGGGCCGAAAACAAGCACCTTGATTAAGGCATGAATAGTTAATTCATCAGCCTCTTCACTGTGGCATACTTTCAACTAAAAAGACTATTCTCATCTCTTGTCTTTGGTGCAATTAGACATTCATGTCAGAGCTCCTATACAGAGGCTTGATTGATACTATATGCTGGTAGATTGCCAGTCAAAAAAAATCTGACTGACAAAAATAAACCTGCAAGCCCTCCTTCACTCATTGAGGATCAGCCAATCTGAATGCAGGATTGAATCTCATGATTCAACATGACTCTCTTTCTTTCTTTCTTTTTTTTTTTTTTTTTTTAAATTACCAATGAAGGAGTCTTTTCAAATGTGAGTTGGGGTGGGTGGAATTGGAGGTAATTGGAGCGTCATTTGAAGGATTCACATCTCCAGCGTGCACCTGTTGCCTTTTTGTTTTGTGACACATGTTAGTTTGTTTGGGAGGAGAGGAAAAACACAAAAGTTTGATTGCTACCCCACTATATGTCATGGCACTTCTCTTGTGTTAAAGCTGAATCCGAAACCTCCACATACATAGTAAGATTCAGACAGGTTAAATGCAAAAAAAGAATTTCATAAAATTAAATATTTGTTTCAATCCTTGTAGACTATCTTTTAACACAAATGCTGTTCATTAACCTATCTATTGCAATAAACCTTCCTTAAATCTCTACTTAAAATAAAATAAGCTGCAACAAATCAAACCCATCATCTCACTCTCCCCCCACCCCCCACCCCATTTCTTCAGTATTTCATTTTCCACTTGACCCTGCAAATGTGTCTGTCCCTCTGCTTTATCCATCCGTTCATCCCGTTCCATTGATTATTTCAGGGATTCAGTTGGATGGATGTGAGCCATTACTAAATAGCAGACGACCACACATCACTTGAGCCAGTCTGACAGTTAATGAGAAACACTGGATGTATTTCATACATACACATACACCTTTCCCATGAAGGAAAAGGAGACAGAAAGAGCTGCAGAATAGATGAATGTATGTATGTATGTATGTGGGTGTGGTGGTAGTGGAGTGAGGGGGATTGAATACATAAAGAATGAATAAATAAAAAGAAGCGGCAACAGAACGGTGACCATGAGTAGAAAAAGATGTAGTAGCTTAACATACTATAAGCACTTTACTGTAGGGAATAAATAGTACAGGATTAGTGCACAGTGTTGTACATGTTGACTGCAGTGTTTGCAACCACATCTTCAGATCAAGCAAAGTTTCTTGAAAGAGGAGTCAGCTTCCAGTTTATTCCATGAAGTCACTCAAATAATTGCCCTTGAATTTGCAGATGCCTTCTGCCCCTTCTCTCTTTTTTTTTTACATTGACATAATGTTCAAAAAACTCCCCATGAGCGGGTTGGAATGAGGAGCTACATATAATTATGGGACAGTTTTATCATTTAGTGACCATCAGCGCTAATTCTGTTGTATGCATGTTCATACAATATCTAAGAATATCTTTGCACACTACAGTTGTGTACTCTAATTTTTATACTAGAAGATAATATGTACAATGAGCAGTGTTGGTTCATTTTCACAGTACTGGACTCACTGTTTGATTCTGTGAAGAGCAGTGTAAAAGTACTACAAGTAATTCATAAAAATAAAAGGATTACCACAAAACTTACAAATCTGCTTTTCACTAAGAAAGGATAAATCCAACTAATTACGCCTTATTTTTGTGACTTTGACCATCATTTGTAGTGCTTATGGTAACAATGTATTCATCAAAAAAACTGCTGAGATCCTGGAGCATGCCAACATCAATAATGTCAGACAGGGCACGAAATAGTAATGGTCTGGCAATCAGACAGGTTGTAAACAAGACAGATGATATAAACTCCTTCATTTGGAGGAAAACCTGAAAGTGAACACACAAAAATTCCTCATTACACGATGAAACTGTGGGTGCACAAAACTATAAAAACGTGATCTATGTTGCAATAAACTGGAATCATCCTTTAAGAGTGAAGGCATTGTTTCGACGAGTGTAACTGTTTCCTCTCCATTTCTAGACATATAATGACCCTGTGGAGACAAAAAGTGCCCAAACAAGCCAGGCTTCTCCACATATGATGCCAGCCAACCCGCCCCTGTACAGCGTGCCACCTCCCCCACAGCCGTCATCGCCATACCTGGGGCCCGGGGCCTTCCCTCTCACCGACCTGCAGAGCTACGCAGGACACGCCCCCCGCCACACCCTGTCGCAGACGCTCAGCCAATCGCAGATGCTGCCCAGCATTAGTGCCTCTCCCCCTTCCTCCTTCCAGATCAGCCCACCACTTCACCCCCACCAGCAGCTCTCCCTGCACCAGAGCTCGCTCCTCAACCAGCCTATCCGCATGCAGCAGGTCCAGTCCCAACCAATCATCTCTCACCAGATGGGGCTTCAGGCCTCTCTTCACTCCCCACCTCCAGGGCAGCAGGTACAGTGACAAAACTGGGACATGCACATGCTGTCTGTGAAGCAGTTTAAGATGTGGGTTTAATTTTCTCAATGTTTTTCTTGTAGGGTTTTTCTCACCTCCAGTCAGAGTACCAGAAGAGTATTGGGGGCTCCCAGTCTCCAGGAGCCCCTGGCCCTGGTCCAGGCCCTGGAGTGGCTCAGACCCATGACTGGGACAGTGAATACTGCAATCGGGAGTGTGGCAACCACTGCAGGTCAGGGGACACAGAATCATCAAATCAGATAGTATCGTTGGGAATGGAGACAGTTTCATTAAGTTCAACCAAATGGACACATTGTCTTTAGCTGTTTAGTCAGTAAACCCGTCAAAATAAATAAAAGATTATGTGTTTCTGTAGCTACCTTTTTAATTTCAGGTTGCATTTTTCAGAGAGATGCAGTCCAGTCGAAATCTTAGACCACAACTCCCTGAAAAATAAGTATATATAGTCATGTCAGACGTCTCTCCCACTGCTTTCACAATATAAGTGTTGAAAATTGTCAGCTCCATTCCAGTGAGACAGGCCAGACAGCTGGAGAGGTAATGGTGAGATAATAGAGCTTGTCATGTGTTTGTCAGACAGCAGTAAAAAAAAACAGATGTTCCTAGCACAAGTTTTCACTCTTATTGTACTAAACTGTTTGGCATGTTGTGCAGTCCCGCAGCACTGGCAAGTCGACTGTGCTGTTCATGCTTGATTACTGTAAAGCGTTGATTTTATTAACAGGGTTTGATTTGAGGAATGTAGGGAAAAACTCAATTGTAGCCATCAGAGTTTAGGGTGTAAATATAACCTTCTCCTCTGCGTTTTTTTCTTCCAGTGGCAGCATGATAGGCAGGGACAAGCCACTCTACCTCACCTAAAACTGAAGATCATACTCTGTCGACAAATACGACACCGAGGAGTCTACTCTCATCCCCTTCATTTCCCTTCACACACCCTGCTCTTTCAACCCCGTCGTCTTCTGATGCACACACTCACATGCAGTGCACACTTAACATACAATTGCATACATAAACATACAAACACACACACACATTCCGCCTCCCAAACACCACCACCACCACCACCTTTTTTTTGTCAATGTAATTTTTTTTTTTCTTTTCTCAGTTTCTAGAATTTGTGACCAGAGTTTTTTGACTAGATGACTACTGTCTGTACCACTTAATGTATTAGCAGTCCTCTTGCTGTTTGAATTTGCCAAGCACTTATAAAGCCTCCCTCCCCTCCTCCTGAGTTGTGTGTCTATGGCCTCTGTGATACAGAGCCGGGCTGTGGAGCACTGCTCTTATGTGTCACCATTAAAGTCCCCTCAGGGACCCCATCCAGCTTTAATTAGAATGAGAAGAGAAAAAAATACTCTTCCTCTTCTTAACTCACTTTATTTTTGTGTTCCCCCCCTTTTTTTTGTTTGTTGTTTTATTTATTTCTGGCTTGCAAAAATTGTTCCTCTTTTTTTTTTTTTTTTTTTTTTTTTCTTTGCCAATAAGCGATGGGCCCTGTACTGTAGAGAAATATTAACTTCTAGTAGGTTCTACACAGGCCTTGATGTTATGGTAGCTTTGCTTAAGGGCCTGCAAATTAATACAAAAAGCTTGGGTGGGGAAGAGAAACAAAACAAAAAAGAATCTTTTTTTAATATTAAAGACCTGTTGAGGTCTACTGAGCTGTCACAGTGTGATTGTAAATATCACTTTTATGGGATCAAATTGGGAATTGGAAGTCCAGATAGATTTGTTTCTTCTTTAATATTACATGTAAGTCATTGTGTGTGCGTGTGTGTGTGTGCGCGCGTGTGTGTGTGTGTCTGGACGATAGAATGTACCGCATTCATGATGTGTGCAGTTGAGTATGTATGTGTGTATGTGCACGGACACATACTTGTGTGCAAGGGTGTCTCGGTGTTCGAGTGTCGAGTCTTTCTCGTGAATTTTAACAGCCTTGTGCAGCTGGATTTCAGAGGAGTATTTCACACTCTCGTTCTTGCATTAAATCTGTGCTCACTGGTGTGTTTTTTTCCAATAAAGTTCAATCTAAAACTGAATACACAATATGTGTCCTGCAGATCATTAAATGGAAAGAGCCAGGTGAGAGATAGAGAGCAAAGAGATAGAAAAAGAGAAAGAAACGCTGTGAGATAAAATGAGATGTAATGTTGCAGGTGGGAAAAAATAAAAATAAAAAAAAGATATTGCCTCAAAATGCCTGCCCCATCCCTTTTTTTGTTATTTTGTCTGACCATAATGTCAGTTTTGTCTCCTCAACATGCAGAAGTGAAGTAATGAAATATGTGAATGGAGCCATCACATCCACATTACAGTGATTCTTATGAGTTTCTAGTTGGTGTTTGGTTGTGTTGATCTCATCTTTTTAACTTTTGTGTGATTAACAGAAATGCATTTTGCTGACAAAGACATCTCGTTTTTATCTCTTACGTGTAGCATAATTTCAGTTTTAGTTGCTGCAAAACTATAACATTTTAAAATGTGTAAAAAAAAAAAAACCTGCCAACTGTAGTTATTTTATTTGTAAAGCCAGTAACGATAAATATTTTAAATGGTTATCAGTATATTGTTTTTCTGCTAGTTACCCATCAGCCATTTGACAGGTTTTTTCTTATTTATGAAAGAAATTAGATCACTTTTGCTTCTTACAATGGAGGTGTATTTTTATTCTTATTTTATTGTTTCTTTGCTTTGGTTTGATAAAAATGATGATGACCACAACAATGATTATTTCTTTATTTTTTACATTTGGGATGCTGCTCCTTTCTTTCCTTGCCAGCAGCATCAGTTTGTGTCACAATGCTTCTTTTATTTCAAACCTGCATAATAAAGAAAAAAAAGTTTAAAAGTGCTCGTGCCTGAATGCCTGTTCATTTCCCTGCAGGCTTGTTGTCTCTTTTTGTCCCCTTTTCTAATTAGATGATCACACTTTTTTTTCTTTCTTTTTTTTTTTTTGAAGACATGATAATAGTTATTTTAAAGATACACAAACACCCCCAACTTACTGCACCGTACAGTGTGTTTGCACTTAAGAGGGTCACATTTGTTTCCCATATTTATATTTAGCTCGGGGCTCCAGTGCCATCAGCTAATTAACCATGGATACAGTGTACACCAGCCAGCACGGATATTGCCAGTAAACTATCTTAACAAACAAGAGAGCAGATGCGAGAAGACGTTTGCTTTGCTTGTGAAAGTAGTGCATCGTAGGCGTCTAGTGTGAGATAAAGAGAACAGAGAAATGCAATGTGCATACAAACTCAGGCAACCGTCCAAGAGCTGATTTTACCCCAATTGCACACAAGTCTTCTTAGAGACTTCATGAGAGAGAGAAAGAGATTGAAATGGAACTGTCACGATCCCTTCATTCAATGTTTTATTCATTTTACGTCTGCCTGCCGTCTCTTCTTCAGTTGTATTGAATTGGCAAATAGATCATTATTGGACAATTGGAAAACCTGCCACTTTGTGATATGACACACATTATATGAAAATCACAGTCATACATTCTTAATGCAGTGTCAGATAAAAGGGGGTTTTGGGTGCAGCTACACAGACCTGCCTCTGTGCCTTTTGTGTACATACAGTCATGTGTTAGTATGAATATCTGCTTATGTATGTGAGGGTGTGTGTGTGTGTGTTTTTCTTCCTTTCTGTGTTTGGGTGTTGCCTCTCCTCTCTAGCTGTAGGTATATTTGTGCATACAAAAGTGGTGTGGTAACAATGCTAACAATAGTCTGTTTGGTCTTTCTTATTTTATAATAATAATAATTTTTTTAAAAATTAAATTTAAGAGCTACTACATATTCGCTCTGCCTTCCACAGCCGCCTGGCAGTCACTGTCTATAGTAATACTGTAGTAAATACTGCGAGAAGACAGTATCAATTTGACACTTCTGTCAGCGCCCTTAATCCCATCCCTCATCCCAGAGTCAAAGTCATGAGGCCAACAGAGATGAAAAGCAACAATTTATAGTGGAGGACGCCATTGAGAAGAGGTGAATGCGGCAGTCTTTTTTGGTTTCCATAGATTTGAAAAGACCACTGCAGCAGCTAAATGGATGACATGAGTAACAGCAGGCTGGTTGACAAAGACAAGGTCAGTGCGGTATCCTTCTGAAAGACAATGATGCTAAACCATTGTAAACCTGCAGATAAATATCAAGGTGAAAAAGGAGCAATCTCAATGAAAGATTTTTTTTTCTTTGCAAAGTGATTCTGATTTTACATTCATTTCTGTTTGGTTTGTTGCTGTCTTTTTGCATTAGGTTGATTCATTTGGCGGCTGAGTTGCATAGCAAGTTCATTGAGGCATTCATTGAGGCATTCATTGTATAGAGGTTTAAATATTACTATAATAACTGCCCATTGTAAAATTTTAACACCAAATGAATCAGCAACACAAGTCATTTGAAATGTGTTTTTGTTGTTGGAAACAGTGTGCATAGCTGCCATATCCATTTTTCCCCTTTTTATTCAATAACAGAAAAGCATATACAACAAGTTTAGTGTGTCTGCAGAGGAAGAACAGCCACCAGTGGAACATTTCCATCACCAACGGACTTGTAAAATCTGCCTCGATAAAAGCCTCTTATTTTCCTAAAATGTTGTTTATTTGACCACAAACAGACAACCAGCGAACTGGAGCTTCTCTGTCCTTTGAGTTGAGCTTGATGCAGGTGAGAAGGTCAGTGCTATAGTTAAACCTCAAAAAGGCTTCTGCATGCAGCTCCAAACACACCAAGCCTCTCACAGACCAGCCACTGTAGCACACAGGCAAAACGTTTCAGTTGCAACTTCGGTGCTGCGGTGGAGAAACAAACAGCAGGAAATGTGGGTGGTTTTAACAAGAAATGAGTTTCGCTTTGTGTTCAGAATCAGTTAAGGTTACCTTTTTTTCTTTTCTTTTCTTTTTTTTTTAAAATGCTGACTGTACTGCATAAACTGTAATAATTAATCTAGAAACCGAATATAGCCTGCAGATTTTGAGAACAATAAGTTGACACTAAATTGTAATTATTCTGCTGTTTTATTATTTGTTAGCTTTTGCTCAGTGGTGAGTTACTCGTCATTTCATTGCAGTCACGTTTTGTATAAAAGACACATCTTTCCACTAAGTGAAATTTTTTAACATGGCACTTAGAATTCTTAAGCACAAAAATTCCAAAGCAAACAATAGCTGACAAAATAGGTCACATAGGGCACAATGTGGGGCACGAAGCGCACTTGTGGTTTCACACCTGTAGCCCTGATATTTACGTATTTCCGCATATATGCAATGTCAGGTTTGACAGCCATTAAGTACTGCCTGCAGTGGCCGAATCTGACCCATTTTCCCTTGTTTCTGATATTACTGTTAATGAAATGCTTAAACTAGCTGCAGTGTATTTTTAACAATGGGGGCTTCAAGTTTGTTTTTTCTTTTTGTTTTCAAGACATATCTAAAAATCCCCTCAGATTCATTGTGAAACATCAGGTGATGAAAATTTCTCTCTATGACTGATCAAACCAAATTGGGGTGTCTCAATATCAATATAGCAACTTTGCCCAACAGTCTGTAAGACAATCAGAAAAAAAATATATAGTTTTCATGACATCTTATAGATTAAAAAAAAACAAAACAAAAACTATTTTCATCATTTAAAAAAAAAGAAAAAAATGGTTTGTTGTTGATTGACCCGGCCCTTTCTATTATGGCTGCACAAATGTGGCCTTATTACATTGTTGTATAATATATATTATATTATATTTGTCTAATTATAAAAAAAATGTAAATGTTGCTGCTTGTTGCATAATTAAGCTTACTGTGTCCATAATACTCTACATAAACGGTTTATTGTAACTGACATATCATAACAATTATCTAAGTTTAAGCTTTATAGCATCTTTCAGCTTATTGTATTGGTTTTCCGGCTGCAACATTGTTTTGGTTTCATATCACAGCTCTTATAGCAGTGAAGAAGCTTTAAAAACAGACTTCACACTAACCACCGAGCACCAAGCAACATACAGACAAAGTTAGCAACAAGATGGATGGTAAATGTAGAGGTTTTAGTAGCTTAACAAATAGATCTTTTCCTCAGGCATTCATAAACAGAGCTACATGATGGACTCATAGGTCACCGCTTTAAATGATGCTAACGTTGGCATGCACTGACATGATGCAACATGCTCACCACATCAACTAAGGTGGTTTTACTGCTTTTCCTCATTGCTGAAAAATGTACAGATTCAAATATCGCTGATTGTGATAGTTAAAAAAAAGATATTTCTGAAGCTGTCTGTGTCTCGCAGATTCTTTTGTCAGACTACAAAGGGAAAGTGATGTGCAAAAGCTGATAAGGCACTTCTGGGTTTTATGGATGTGTAAAAAACTGTGGTTGAGAGCATTAAGCCAATGGTGGCCGGAAGATAGGCTTGTTTGATGAGAAGTAAAGTCGCTTCCCCTCTACACCCTCATTTGGCTGGGAGGGGTTGTGTGGGACAGAAATCCTCATCCCTGTAGAGAACCCGCAGTGCTCACTGACTAAGAGGTAAAATAATAGAGCCCCACATTTCTCCATCTCAGCACTTCTTGAGTCTTGACTTGAAGTGGAGATGAGTCAGATTGAGAACCGCACACATAACTATTTTCTCATCACCCCTGCAGTCGTCTGTGAAAGTCAGGTCTCTTTATGGCCTGGAACACCTCAGACTGGAGCCACAGCAAAAAAAAAAAAAGGACCAGCCATACACAGTCATTTTAGATGTTTGTTAAACACCACAGCTGCTCTATTTGAGCAATATCGCCCACACATGCTGCACCTTAGATCCTCCAATAATTGCATGCTGGAGAGAGAGTGTTAGAAAGAAACGGTTGTGTTATTGTAATAAGGTTCTGGTCCAGATGTTTGGGATTAAAGGGGTTTTTTATGAAAATACAATATAGTTACTCGGGAAGTTAGGCATTCAGCTCTGTCATGCACATGGCATGTAACACTGTTTAAATAAGCTTGAAGATGAGATCGGGAAAGGATTCAACTGAATATAGAGCAACATGTTGGCATGTTGTATAATAGTCAGTTCTAGCATTTGGTTGGCAAAAAAGGTCCATGTTCTTAAAATCAGCACCATAGCAACCAAGCTGTGGAACATGCTTTGCCAATATACAGTAAACATAACATCACAATACATTTTAGTGGCTTATTCCTTATTATA